GGGTTAAGGAGACTCCTATCTCTTCCATTCCCAAAGACAAAATAATCACTAAACAGGCTTACTCCCAGAAATTATCAGCCTACATTTAGCATCATTTCTTTAATTGGAACCAGATGCCTTGGGGTAAATTCCTAACTCCCTCTATGTCCTTCTTCTGCTGGAGACTCTGGCATTCCTTACTGCCTGCAGATGATATTTTAAAGATGAAAGGGCTGATAGGGCTTTCAATTTTCCCACTTTGCTGTGCTGCTGAAGAAACCTTGGATCACCTATTTTTCTCATGTGCTCTCTCTCAAGAAATTTGGTCTGGCTTAATCAAGCTCCTAAATATCAATAGTCAGAATGTAAGCTGGATTAAATTCTCTTCTAGTTGGACAGATTGGCATAACAACAACCTTTGGGTGATACTATGTATTGTGGCATGGTTCATATGGATGTACTGAAACCACAACAAATTTAATGAGAAGTTGTCAGGGTCTACATCTGTGATTATGAATTGTATCTCTTACATTCAGAAATTGATCACGTTTCATCACTTACCTAATATTTAAAGCACTAGACTCCAGGAAACAATACTTCTCTTCTTCAATCTTTCAAACTAATCTTTTGGAGTCCCCCTTACTGGTTGGTTGAAAGTCAACACTGATGGCAGCTTCTCAAAGGGTCATGCTGGTATTGGGGGAATCTTCAGGAACTCTCATGGTTCTCCCACTATATATTTCACTGCTCCTGCTGTGGCAAAGGATGCTTTGGAGGCTGAATTCATAGCTATCTACTGGGCCATCAAAATTGCTTCTTACTGCCATATGGGTCCTTTGATTATAAAAACAAATTCTACCAATTGCATTAAAATCCTCCTTCATGATGAAACCCCCCCTTGGAATATAACCAGATGGAACAATCTCTTAGCTGCCCTACTACCTAGATACATGATCAATATCAATCACATTCCTAGAGAAGGTAATAGTCCAGCTCATTGGCTTGCCTCCCAGGATAAAAACACTGAACAAATTTTTGTTGGGCTGTCACTTACACCTGAATTAAAATTCCTGCTAAATGGAGATAATTTGGCACTCCCCTATATCAAATGTATGTAACTGATACGGGAAGTAGACCCTTGGGGGAAGGTTTTGATGTGTGTAATTGCAGCTTATGTGCCCACACAGATACATGTGCTACATTATGTGTTCCCCTTTTTCTTTCTTTTTTTATTTTATGCTTTTTGGGAGGGTAATTAACTCTCCAACCCTAGTAATTCCCTCTTTGGTATTTTAACTTGTAAGGATCCTTGTTGCTCTTTTCCTAAAAAAAAAAAAAATATATATGCCTTGAAAGTACTAAACTTTTAGGTGGAGGAACGAGAAGACTCGACAGATACCCCTTTACAGTTTACAATACTTGTGATTCCTGCATTTTTCCTTACTGCACTTTTCACTTATAAACTTGCATGCTAAATAACGAAGTCACCCTGCATGTCAAAACTAAAACCTTTAAGACAGCCACAAAACTGAAACCAAAATAAAAAATAAAATCAATCAAGCTAAAATTCACCCCATAATATTCAAAGTATAAGACAACTCAAAATTTAATCACAAACTTCACAAAACAACAATTGCAACTAAATTAAGACGTCTCTATTAGATGATCGGGAATCCCTCGGAGGAGGTAACCTACGGTTGCTAACGAGATTTCTTACTATTTTAATGAAAATATATAATTCATTAAGTTGAGTTTAGTAAATCAATTCAGACTAAGTGAATCCGAAAAAAAATAGTAGTACTAGAATGAGGGAACCATAGCTTCC